GCTGAGGGGCTCAGCCTTGGCCAATGGCAGGTCCATATTGCAGCCAGCTGCTGTTGGCTCTATTGGACATAGGGGAAACTTCTGGCAGCTTCTCACAGAAGTCACCCCTGTAACCCCCCCCGCCACCAAAACTTTGCTGTGCAAACCCAATACACTTGTGTGGCATAATCACGGATTTTACACATATAAGACAGTGGAGTAACTTTAATAATGATTAGAGTTGCAATGATTATAATATAATTGGTTATGAATTTACTAAAGCACAGGGATGATTTTGAACCTGATTAATATGTAGCACCTCATTACTTAGTGGCATGACTATCAAGCCAGTCTCCCATGTGAAGAATGGGACATCTGAGTAATACTGCAACAAAAGATATTTAAGGCAATAATAAAACAGAACAGCAATATTTAAATATGAGGCAAAATTATTTAAGTTGTTCTTGAACAATACATGTTGGTTTTTCAGTGCCCTGAGAAAAAGTTAAGAAAATAAATGCAGTTTTCACCTATATTCTCTCATGTCTACTGAACTGTTCTGTTTTCAGCTTCCAATTTTACCTGATCCAAGTATGTTTAGCTTAAAACTAAAAAAAAAGATAAGAAAACATGGACTCTGACTTAGTTCTGGAAAGAGAAAGCTTCCCAGCATTTGACATTTAGACAGATACACAAACAAAAGGTACAAAGAAGTCAGTTTCTCAAAATCTCATGGATTAATGAATTGCAGGATTCTTGCCACTACCTTGCTTCTGACACAGAGGAATTACATCCCTATGTTATCTACAAACTGTGTGTAATGGCATAATGAGAGACTCTAAGAATATTTACTCATAATTCTGGTGCAATTTTCGAGCCCCTGGTTATTGCCTCCACACTCAATTTGATTACTTAGATTACTAACTTAATTAGTTATTACTCACTTCAACCCTATCCAGCTAGAAGCATTAACCATGAAAAGGGCTTGCAGGTTCTTGGGCATTTTTCTGTGTGTAGTTATGAAAATGGACATTCTTACTTATGGTATTAAGGCTGTTTGTTAAAAAGCATGTGATAACATCACCATCATTTATTCTGTTTCTCTTAAGATGATGCTAATAGTCTGAGAAGAGTGTGATTGATGTTGTTTAGTGCAGACTAAAAAAACAACTTCAGAAAACGGTACCCATATTTCCTAGAGGTTCCTTCTTTCCATGACTTTACCGGATAGACTCCAGGTAAGAAAAATGCATTTTCCCTTTCCCTTCTTTTATTATGTTTGTTTTCAGCCCATAATGATAAACTTATACTAGCAGTCAAAGGGTTGGTACTCATCAGATCGTAAGTTTTTTTGCTTGACTACACACAGTCAACAACATTTGAGGCCATAATAATAATAATAACAACAATGATAATAGCATTATTATTATAACAATAACAACAATAATAATAAAGTTATAAATAAGCTTTAAAACTATGCTTCTGCCCTAAAGAATTTTCAGTCTAGCAAGACAAAGACAGAGGCCAGAGAGGAATAAATGAGGGAAAACACAGGAATCTCTCTCAGATGACTCATCAGTTAATATGATCCTACAGGAAGAAGAAAGGTTTATGGATTCCTGGAGACGGCAGACTTGCAGCCAAGCCTGACTGAGTAGAACACTGATCTGGGCTGGGCAAGGCATTCCAGGTGTTTAAGGACATGCAAAATATGACATGAAAATAAAAAACCAGAAGAATGACCGGGAAAGGATATTTAATCATATGGCTGGGAGGGGAGCATGGGTCTAGAGGGCTTCATATTGTCAGTCTACTCCTATTAAAGTCCCAACTGGGCACCTAGACATCCTGCTGCCAAGCTAGAGCTGTTTGCTGCCACCAACTCCTCCTTCCATTTTTCTAGGTATTCTTTTCTAATGAAAACCTTTCTTATAATGCAGTTGCTCCCTTCAGGAGACTTGACTTTCTGTGTACCTCTAATGGGAGGACTGAGAAGTCAAAGAAACTCTGGAACTGGAAAAAGCACAGGCTGGACAAGGTATAACATTTTGGCCTTCCCTGTCCAATCCTAGAACATGTACTGCCTCTCATTCTCTTTCTGACTAAAAGAAATCTGTTCAAACACATAGCACTATGGGGGCATATACTCACATATAGAAGGAAAGAAAACAGCCAAGTCAAATAATGTCCCGGCATTAAAAAAGGAAAAGGGGACACACATACTCATAATAGAGATACTGCATTATACAAAGGCAGAAAGCAAGGTTGCAAAGACTACTTGGAAGAAGGAATTAAGTAAGACTGAGCCACTGCGGTGGTAAAGCATCAAGTCCAAAATTATTTGCTGGAATACAGAAAACAATGTGAGACTGCAAAGCCATATAGGTACTTTTGATCCATCTACTGTACAAATGACCACAACAGGCAACAGACACTTCGAGTAGAAAACAAGCTACTTAGATACTATAACGCATAGGTAAGCAGTAGCTTAAAATTTCAAAACTAGTTATTTTAGCAGAGTAAATTACCTTGCATAGAGTTCAACCTTGTCTTGAGTATTTCTGGTATCAAACCAGACAGCTTAACAATACTTTCTTTGTCTTATACCTGTTCTGCATATACTCACTAGATAGTAGAGTTATGAACACAGAAGCCCTTTCTATTGGGTGGATCAAGATGTAATTACTATGATTTCTACATCCTTCAGAGCAAAAAAAAAAAAGACTATCCTAAGGTTTTAAATAAGCCTTCATGTTCGTAACGTGCATGAGAGGTAAATAAAACTGTCTCTGAATTGCAAAATCGTACTCACACTTAAGCAGCATTATAAGAACAGCTGAGCTACTTCTTATTTCTTCCTCATTTTACCTGCTGACTTCTCATTTTTCATTTTCCTTGTTACTGTTGCTCTTCTGCCTTCTTAGGAAGGCTGAAGTAGAGAAGCTATTAAGCCTTTCAGCGTTTTTGGCTTTATCTGCTCTTCATATCCATTATCAACCTGCTACATTTTTCATTTGTCAGATTTTTGCTTCTTACATGCTTTTTATATACAGATACAGGTGGCACAGGCTCTGAGGGAACAACAAGGGAGAGTTTACAAGGAAGAAGTAATACAAAATAAGAGAAGGAACAGCCTTGGAGGTGAAATGATGCAGGAGTGGTGAAGCAGTCATCACTCTTGGCTTAGGGCACTGGCCCAAGAACATGCCAGTCTCTTAATTTATACTTTTCTTTCTTATATTATTGCTCTGCTTTTTTCTTACCCCTTTCCTCTCCTGCCACCCTCTTTTTTGGTCACCTTACAGTTCATGTACTACACAAAACAGGAACAGCCTTGATTCCTGTAAGTTGCTTCTCTCGAACAAAATCAGTGGGCCTTTGCAGGTCAGCTTTCTCTTTCTCTCCCCTGCTAGATCTGCCAGAGAGGACAGCCATTTTCCACTGCTGCACATCCTGGCATCCATTGGCATCTTCCTTTACAGCTGTGCTACTCTAGATTACTACTTTTGGATTAATGGATTCACTTTTTTTTTTCCCCCATTGCTCAACAGTTCCAGTAAGATCCTGATATGAGTGAGTAAAGTGATGGACAAAAACACACGTTGTCTCAAAAAACTTGAAATGCAGGGACAGTGAAAAGAGAGACAGACTTCTTCCCACATCCATTTATTTGATTATCTGCTTTAGTCTATTAGTTGTAAGGGAGTTAGTAATGGATGGAAGACACTGCTTCCTAGACGAACACTTACCAGAACATTCTAAATTCATTTAATATAAGAATGAATCAAATCCACCAAATAAATGCAAACAATTGTAAAGGAAATTTAAATA